CTGGTAGACTAGTAAATTCTCTTTTTTCCTCTCTGCATTTTTCCCTGCTTTTGGTAGCACAATTCTAATTTGTCCAAGCTTTCCTTCTCTTTTAGCACAAGGTCTCTGCTGTTCTTATTGCTCTAGCTCCAACCTTCTCCATCTGGTCCGTAATTACCCTGAAACCTGGTACCCAAACCCAAAGATGATAAAGCTGCTCTGATGAACAGCTGAGTGACTTCACACAGGCTGTTTATGCTGTTCCAGGTGTCATTTCTCTCCTGCAAGAGCAGCAGAGCACTGCTCATATCTGCTCTGCCTGTAACCCTCAGATCCTTCCCTTTAGAGCTGCAGTTTAGCAAAAGGGATCTCGTTACTTGTGTTGGAAGCTGACTGTTCCTGCCCAAGTGAAATTCATGGTATTGGTTCCTCCAATTCACTTCAATTAGTGTGAGCCCTCTTTTTTTCTGACCAATAGTTGAGGCTTCTTCTGTGCTGGGATTGTTAGCTCAGCCTGCACTAGTAAGGATGTGGGAACTGGTGTAGTTCTCTTTTGCTCTACATGAAAGCATACTTGAGAGTTTATAAATCACTAAGTTTGCCTTATCTGCCACTGAAGCTAAGGGGAGGGGGTACTTTGTGACTGGTTTAACATCAACAATACTGCATTACTATATTTAATTATTTCACCTATATATTCAAATGTAGACCTTGAGTGGGTGAAGGAATCTGATGTGATTCAGAGTCAGGGTGTGTCTCAGCCTGCTGATCAGCGTTCAGGTATGAAGGAGAATTCTTAGTACTTCTCAGTCATGAGAGACTGCTGCACGCCTACTCTCTTAATGGAACCACTGCCCTTGAAGACAACAACTGAGGTCACACCATGCCTTGACTGGGATCTTTTCAAAAGACGTGTTCAAAAGCCCCAAATCTGACCTCTCTTCCTTTCATGGACACAGCCTAATCCTGGTTAAAATCTAAGGGAAGGGTGAAGCAGACCCAGATTCTTCTCACCCCTCTGGAGGTGAGCAATCTGTCCTGTGTTACCACACAAGGAAGCAGAGATGCACATTCACAGAGGAGTAGGTGGCAGTGACAATGGGTGGAAAGAGACAGTGGAAAGCTGGGGGATACAAGGAGAGAAGCTGTAGGAGAAAAGGCATGGCAGAGGGGGAAGAGAGGAAGCAGAGACAGGTGGGAGAAAATTCCAGAACGAAGGGAACAGGAATCTAAATGCTTCCCTGTGATTCTGATCTCAACACTTTTTCTGACTAAGTCCTTTAGGAAGGAATCTGTGCAAGGATTCTCCTTCTGGAGCTCCCTAGAGCCACCAAAACTTCCCCTTGAAGTGATTGCTGCCTGACAATTTCCTACATCCCAGAATTTTCGAGTGCTGAAATCAGAAGTTTGGACCATCCAAAAGGAAGGCATAAAGAAGCATTAGGACCTATGCTCCAGCATCACTAGTTTATACAGTGGTACAACTCTCACAACTCCCATTTATGAGGTTAAAGAAATAATGATTCATGAGACTGGCTGACACCTGGAATGATTTAACCATGCCATCCCTTATGTAAATGACATTGACTCACATTTCCAGATGTAGGTGGAACTGGCAATTGTCTTTTCCTCATAATTGTCTTAACTTGCTTCACTAGTTAGAAATAGTTTTCTAGGTTATATTTCAAATCTGGTAATCATTAGAGGTACATTCTTTCCACAGATGTTTGTATTTGTAGTCAATGGAACATCTAGGACAGAATTCAACCTACAAACTTAGATATGTAGCAGCAGCCTAGATAGAAATATATGTACTTAAGTCTGAACTAAAGTAAGATTGCTTGATGTATACACAAAATTTAAAATATGAATGCACGTGTTTCAGCAGACAAGATTTTTGTGAGGTTTTTTTTTGCCCTTACCCCTGAATTTTCTCAGACTTCTTACATTTAACTAATCTTTTAATTAAATTTAATACAATGACATTCTCTTAGATAATGCAGGAGGAAAACCTTGAAATAACAGGATAAAATAAATGATGGAAGTTTCTAAAAAATTTAATCAAAACCAGTATACATAAAGGGAGAAAATTATGAAATATCATTCCCCATTGGTTTTCATCCAAAAAGTGGCTAGACTCTCCTCCTCTTTCTGGCAGCCTGTCTGTTCTTTCCCAAGGCACAGGCTTGTCCCAGACCCTTGCAATTAAACCACACTCTGTGACGTTCCAGGGACAGAAGCTGGCCAGGGCTGAGCTGGCTGCAGTGGTATGTCATGACTTCCACCACAGAGATCCGACCCAGTTACTGTGACCTGACACACTTGCAATCTAGTACAGCATCAAGTCTCAGAGCAGCAGGCCCTGAAAACACCAGAGACTCATGTGAAAGCTAAAACCAAGCCAAACAAGACTGAATTAAACACAGGAGAAAGACATTCTGAAAAACCATAATTATATCACATAGTTTGTTGATACATGCTTACTTTGCTTGTTAGAGGACTCTGGGTGAGATACCCACATGCTTTTTAAGAACAGAAGTGTTGACAATCCAGGAGGAAATGACAGGGCTGACTATCTCCTGCTCTGAGCTCACATCAGGGACAAAAGGCAATCCATGTGCTGATTGATGGGTGACGCTGCACTGCAGAGTAAAGTGGTGGCAAGGCGAGGTGCAGCCCCTGAGCAGATCTGCGCAATGTTTGGTGATTCTGCCCCTAAAAGGGAGAGGTCACACTGCAGAAGCTGAGACAGCTCACAGAGGGAGGTAAGGAAACATCAGATGTGCTTAGGAACCACATGTACACATTTTATGCACCAGGATTCTTCTGTTGATTTTGCAATGCTCATAATAAACCAGAATCACAGAACAAGGGACCATGGTGGGGCATCTGGTCCAGCCTCCCTGCTCAAGCAGGGTCATCCCAGAGCACATGGCACAGGATTGTGTCCAGATGGTTCTTGAATATCTCCACTGAGGGAGACTCCACACCCTCTCTGGACAATCTGTTCCAATGCTCGTTCACCCACACAGTGAAGAAGTTCTTCCTGATGTAACTGCCAGTTAACAGGTGTTTTCCTCACTTTCCAGCCTTATAAAAGCTTGTGAACAAAGCTGCTGCATCTTACCTATTTTTGTCTCCTACAATGTTTTTCACTACCACTGAATTCCTAAACTGAAAATAATGTGCTATTTCTCAAAAAAAACCCAACTAAATAAATTACCCAAATGCAAGAATGTTCCCTATAAATCTCAGCAGCCTAGTGTCTTTATTCCAAAAGGGAATTCACAGATAACTGGACTTAAAATGAACCACTTGAGGACAAATTAACCATTGGATTATTTTGTAAATTGCTGTGTATTTCAAGTTCATTGCTTGTGTGTAGCTATAAATAAATCTGTACTATCTAGGACAGTGATGAACAGTGACCACAGTGCCCTGGAAATTCAGTCCTGAATAGTTTTTTTCCAATCAAATCCTTTGTTCTGTCATCAAGTTCCAGATAGTGATTTCTACATAAATAAGTAAAAAGTAATGTGTTATTATTACTCTATCTGAACTATTTTTTTCCCAGAATATTCTTTCCAACACTCTTAGGAGATAAAGCTGCTTCTCCTGTGGAAAAGTGGACACAGACAAAAAGGTGGGCTTTACTGTGACTTCCACTATTGAAGATCCAAGAGAAGTTCTCTTAGGTAAGACTCTCACCAGAGAAGTCTGTTATCTCGGTGTTCACAGAAATCACTGCTCTCTCCAGAAGGGAGCAGCATGCAGGGGAGAATGAGAATGAGAATCTTTAAGTAAGCGATCTCTGACAGGAGTTTGGGGGTGGATACAGAAGTGTGACATAGCTGCAGGGGAAACAAATCATGAGAGGGTCCATAGCCACTCTTCAGAGGCAGGTCATAGGGAAAAAGGCCACTCGTAGGAAAAAACAATATTTTCACAGCAAACAGAGAAGAAGAGGTGAAAATACAGAGGCAGCTGTGGTGAAACAGCCGGGACACAGGCTCCCCAGAGACTTCCCAGCCCAAGGGAGCAGCTGCAGAGCTTGCTCCCTCTACTGGAGCATCCTCATAGACCCACACGAGACTCGCTCTTTTGAACCACTCTCAACCCCACAGCAAAGCTCTCAGACTAGAAAATAAAAATTAATGCAGTGTTGATTACCATTGCTGGCTTAGTGTCACGAGGATTTTTTTTAAAGACTGTGCAGTTCAACATGCAGCTGAATGCAGAGGGGAGAGAGCTACTTCATTGCTTTTGTTTTGAAAAGAATAGAAACAAAGCACACAAGTTCAAATCTGCATTTTTCAGATCATAATTCTGTCAGTTCAGTCGAACTGGAACATAGGAAAAGCAGTCAGACCTTTCCAGTGTCTCATGTAATGCAGAAGAGCAACTCTTGCTGTGTGACCTTTGCTCTAATACTTGTGCTCACAAATAAACAGCCTATTCCTGCAGGAAGCAGAGTAAACCTCTCCCAAAGCATCTCCAGACAAACACAACGTCACCACTTGGTTATTTAGCATTCATGCCAGGTAAGGTAGGTCAGAGCAGCGTGAGGCACAGTGACAGCAAGAAACCATGACTCACACTCGCTGACACTGCTCCACTCTTGCTTGAAAGAGTTGGCAGCTGAAACTCCTCTTCTGTAGAATCAGAGTCACCTTTGGACTCTGAGATTGCAGGGTCTTGCACTTTTGCAACTCAGCTTTCTGTCTGCTGAATGAGAGTTCAGGAAGCCTTATTTCTTCATGCCTTTTGATACCTTAGGTTACATAGTGTTGGTGTGGAATCTGCCTTCTGTATACAGCATCTGACATTTGGTACAAAGACCTCCAATTTTAGCTAAACATTACAGGCATGATAGTAAAAAAAGGAAAACATTTGACTAAAAACTCATCTAGATATATTTTAATGGATTTTGTGGCCTCTTGGGTTTAAATGGCTTCTCACTTGCCAACTTTCATCCCAGTGAACATCCTGTTCCACTGGTGCTCAGTCACCTTACGGATTCAATGGAGGAAATGGAAACCAAGCTCTGCAGCAGTGACAAAGAGGAAGCTTTTAAAAGAGAATTACCATACTGCACAGGAGAAATAGACTTCACAGCTTCTGGGAAGAAACATGGACAGGTATGGGCACTGAGGAGTTGTAATCCTTTTACAGTATTGCTGTTGGTTCACTGTTACTCTCAGCAGGAAACAGTGAGGGTCAATGTGCCACAGAGTGAGGCACCACATTATACCCCAAGGAGGGACCATGCCTTCCTGAACATGAGTGTGGTTTAAACCATGGCCTTTTAATATTCAGAAATCGATCACTTGATTTGCAATTACATGATACAAATGCAGGTGATCACTTTTCCCTTTGAAAGAAAAGTCAGCTATGTGCCCTGCTTCCTTAATTTTGTATCCTCTCCCTGGTTTAACCCACCAAAAATGAATCACTATGGATTTTCACATTTTAAACATATTTTTGAGCTGTTTCAAGGTCTTCATTAAAGTTCTCTCCCTGTTCTGCTGATATGCAGAGAGGGATGTATATATGGACTAACTCACCTCCTCAGTAGTCCCATGCACAAGTTAGTACTAGAGCAGAAGGAATTCCTAGGGATTCCTAAAATTTGCCTCAAGGTTTTGTTTCATCATAAAGTCTTAAGCAGAAAACCAAAATATATACAGAACTGGAAGAAGCACTAGATTCACCTAATGTGTCCTTGAAAAACAGATGTGAAATCAGGTAAATATTTCAGCCTTTGCAGAAACAAGAAACACCACAAAATTTGTTGGCTTTGCTAGGCTGCCATGAAACTGAAGGTAGATCAAGAGGAAGCTCTAAGGGAGAGCATGATTTGTCAGTCTGCAACACAGAACTAACCCATGGAGCTGACCCAATTAGTGAGATGGCAATTATACACAAGTCTGAATTAAATTAATTCAAGTATTTAGTTATCTCTTAAATCTTGCTCAAATAATTTTTTTTTTATATATCCAAGTTGATGATAATTTCCCTCTGCATTTACCATGAACAGACTACTGTATCTTTCTGTCCTGCTGTTATTCATTGGGTTTTTCTTGTGTTGAAGTTTATGAAGGTCCAGAGTACCATTCACCCTGGAATTATATTTGAAGTTATGCTCAACAAATGGAAGCTACCTGCTCCCAATTTGGTTATCTCTTTAGTAGGGGGAGAAGAAAATTTTCAGATGAAGCCTTGGCTACGGGACACCTTAAAGAAAGGATTTATAAAGGCAGCTGAAAGCACAGGTGAGTGCTTTAGTCTTTAAAGAAGGAATTTGTATTCCTGATGGATTCCCACCCCTAGCCCCCAGTGATCTGGTAATGACAGTGGGACTGCTCACACGATTATTTTTGAAAATTCAAGACTTTGCTGAATGTGACCTACATGTAAATACCTCTGCAAATGAAAGCAATTGTATTATAGCAGCAGAAATAAATTCTTTCAAAGCAAATTACTCTAGGTAACCATTTTGGTCATGTAAAATTACCTGACATTATTCCCTCAGAGGTGACACTAGGAAGATAGCATCAAAATGAGACCAGATACAATTGCCCCTCTTTTGTGCCATAACAAAATAATTCTGAGGAGAGCAGGGCAATTTGATTTCAACAAGAATGAATTTAGGTCAAAAGTAAGAATTTTTGCCTTCTCACCTAGAAAATACAGTGAGAATATAATTTCACAGTAAACTCTTGGTTTAACTTCACTGTTCCAGACAAGATTGTACCAGTTTTGCGTTTTGTAATGAGACAGCCCAGTACCAGAGCTGTTCTTGGTACTTTTGTGCCACACAGATAGAGAATATCTCCATCTGCCTTCTGTACTTCAGACTGGGCACCATCAAGAGTTTCTTTATGTTACATATTTGAAAAAGGCCAGCTTGCTGTTTACCTAGGGCTCCTTGTCACTGTAACAAGACTGCTGTAAATTCTATTATCCTGAAGAATTCACCCTCCACGCATCCACAAGAACAGGAGAAAACTCTAGCTTAGGCAGGTTATGCCTGAGCTCTTCTGCTAAGATGTGATTGCACAGGACTGTTTAAGCCTCCGTTCAAGTCAACAGCTTCCCTGACTCTGTCCCTTTCCTCTTCCTTGTAAAACACTCAGACCCTCCCGGAACAGGGATGTTTCTGCTCATATGTAGACAGCAAGTAACTCCAGAGTGGAAACAGCACATTAATATCACAGTAAAGATGGCAATGTTGCATCATGTGATGTGTGAGGAGTGTTTGCTAGAGCTCATAATTTCTTCTTGTTTTCCTTATTAAAGTCTTATGTACTTGGCATGTTTTTTAGTTCTAAAAGTTATAGTCCATCAAGACCTGTCTTCACATTATCAATGTTAAAAAAACCCCTTAAATCCAGTACTGCAAGTAATGTTACTTACATACAAACACATTGCAATACAAAGAAATTACCTAACTGCTTTTTAAAAACAATTTCAGGTGCCTGGATTTTCACCAGTGCATTGCGTGTAGGAGTAACAAGATACTTAGTGCAAGCAGTCCGAGATCTTGCCCTGGCTAGTACCTCATCCACACTAAGCGTGGTTGCCATAGGAATAACTTCACTCAGGAAAATCCAGCACAGTGAAATTCTGGATAACACGAAGGTATTTTTCTCTTATTCTATTGTCCGCATATAAGCCGCACCCTTACAAAATTTGTAAGCAGCTGGCACAACAGCTTTCACAGAACTTTAAACAAAGAAACAAAAAGAAGTGGGGTTTATTATAGCTGTGTTTTGGGAGGAAACAGAAACAGAGCTCAAGGATTGTTGGATGAGTCTGTGTCCTCCATGCCCAGCGGGTGGCAGCATTAGACATTAACCCAGAGAGCAGCACAGGGCTGAATGTCAAGAAAATATCCTGGAATACGGGACTTTTCATGGATTTCTCCCTCGTCCACTTACTGCAGAAGCACTTACTCCTAGCTAGTACATAAATACTGCAAAAATCATATTTTATATGATGGGACACCAGACATAAATATTCCAGGACAAATTTTCCTTTAAGTGGCTTCAAGTTGCTACTGAATTGGTATTTAATACAAAAAACTTGCTCAATACAACAGGTCAGAAATACCAGCTATGCAGGACTTCACCTAGATATGGGGAGTTCTAGGGAGTTCTCAAATTGGGTCAAGGGGATCAAAGTTCTTGGGAAGAAAACAAAAACGATGCACCAGCAAATAAAAAAACCTCACCCAACAAAACTGTTGCTGAAAGTGTTGCGGCTGAATAGACATAGATGTGGAGACCAAAAAAAAATATAGCATTCCCTTCCTGTCACTGGATATACAGTCCAAGCTAAGCAGAATATTATAACAATAAAATCGGTGTTTAATGACAATGAATGACAGTTTCTCTGTACTATTTTACTTCCCTGCTGAAGCTAAGGAACAAATGACAGGGACAGCCCTTTGAATTCACACCCAGTTGTTCTCTCACACAGGCCTGGAAGTATCAGCTAGAAGCTGAGAGCCTGGCAGATCATACCAGCAATTTATTGTCATTGTCATTGATTAATTATTGTCATTGGTCTTTTTTGTTTGTTTGGGTTATTTTGTTTTGTTTGGGTTTGGTTTTTTTTGTTGTTGTCATTTTGTGGCATTTTTTTTGTTGTTTTGGTTTGTTTTTTGCGGGTTTTTTTTTGTTGTTGTTGGTTTTTTGCCAATTACAGCTACCTGTGTGCTCTGCCAGGTGGGACTCTTTAGCTGGAAGACTTTAACCTATTTGTGCAGCAACCCGGCCAAAAGGGAAAGAATTTGGTTTGTTGTGTTTAGGAAAGTTTGTAAATGCAAACTATTTCACCTCCCTTCTAGGCTAAGTGATCAAAATGCATCTGGATCTTTCCCTATCAACAGCTACAAAACAAGTGCACTCTTTTTTATTTTCTCCCCCTCAACTAAAGCCCAAATTCTTTGTCAAGGGATGTTTTGCAGAGAGCATTCCTGACCCTATGACTTCTGGCACAGCTTCCACCCAAAGATATTTTGGATTTCGGTCAGTAACTTTAAGATAAAGGAACTACAGATAGGGATGTTGATCTAAACCCAACTCTCTTTATACTTGGCACTAACACAAGCAGCTTGTTGTATAAAATAGAGCTAACAACCCACACTAGCAAGGAGAAAAACAAGCCCTGAAATCAATGGATCCCACCCATCTCTTCTGTGTTAATGGTATGCTTTAAACATCATTGAAAGAACACTTCCACATTTTCAGAGAATAAAAACAAAAATTCCCAAAGGCCTTTTTAAATTGGTTGTTGTGCCTCCAGGTCCTAATCAAAGGCCAGATCTTTGGTGAGGAGGCTTAATATTACATGGCAGCAGAATAGAGGCACATCCTGAGTCAAAGCAAAATCTGAAGGAAATTAATGATGTCAAGAAGCTTTCCCCAAGGAATGAGAGACAGAGAGAAGAAAGTGAAAGAAATTTGTGGCACTCACCATTTGTAAGAAACATGCAAGTTTACTGCTTTTTTGTGTGAGGAAAATACAATACACAGTGGCAGCTGCCAAGTTGACAGTCTGAGCTTGGCCCAGCAACACTGCAGGAACTGGAAAAGAGGCATTAGAGAAGGAAATGCAAATTTTAAACAGAGTGTTAATCTACCTGCTTACAAGAGGACAATGATTATGAAAATTAAAAAGAATAATCAGACATTTACAGCCTGAAATGATGTATCAAAGTGGATGGGCAACAGAGAGAAAGAAAGCTGTATTAAGAAAGAAAGTTTGAAAAAGTGTACGTATAGAAGCCCATGTGTAGTGCAATACTGAGACAAAAGTCTGTAGGAGGGGTTCTGTTTTACCTAGAAGATGAGGTTATGCAAAAACCCAGACATTAATAAATAATTTAAAGGTATCACACTACGCACCCAAAATAAAAGAGGATTCCCCTTTCTAAAATCTGTCTGCCACTCTCTCTTTTAGAATGAAATTTCCAAACTGAGAATAACCATCAGATTTTATACAACTCTGTCAATTAAGTAAGGCTGTGTATAAATTGACAGGGACATGGACTAAGCTAACTCATTCACAGGTCTAAACATGGACAAAACACTACTGAAATTAATAGTTTGCCCCTCTTTAAACCAGCTGAGGAATCACATCTCCAAACACTATTATCAGGTCTCATGGTCTCAATAAACAATTCCAAAACCTGCATTCCAGAGGTGATGACTGATATCACTATATTTTGCAGAGGCCAAGAAGCAAACTTCAGGGACCCCAGCTATCAGTCCTGCCAAATCTGGCTGCTTTCAGAAGGAACAATTTTCCATCTTCACCCTTTTTTGAGGGTCTATGCGAGTGTCTCACAGGTGGTGTCAGGGTGCAGACAGCACAGAAATGGACAGGAAGGATATTAAAACACAGGCTGGGCTTTGCAGAGAGCACTGACATCTCCCCTCCTCTCTCTAGAGTGAAAGTCTTGTACACTACCACTCAGACGACAACATCCAAGGCCCACCCTATTCCCTGGATCACAACCACTCCCATTTTATTCTGGTGGACCACACCACACCAGACGAGCCGGATGGAACCACCAAGCTCCTCTTCACCTTGGAAAAGTACATCTCGGAGCAGCGCACGGGATATGGGGGTAAGCAGGGTCTCTGGAGGCACCCAGTGTGAACAACACTGACAGCACAGCTGCCCCTGGCCTTATCAAAGGGAACTCCAGCTCCCAAATCAGACAGTGGCCAATGTAGGCAAGACCAAGTCAACACATTCGTCATCGTGTAAGAGGCTGAACGACGGTAACTTCTGAAGCTGAGGAAACTGCTCTTTGAACCAAAAATCTGGACTTTTGTTGCATCTCCTTAAATGTAGCTCAAAGCTGATCTTCAAAGAACAGCTCAAATTGCCTTAAAAGACAACATATGGAAAATAAATCCAGCTTCAAGTGCCTTTACCAGTGGTTCTAAGAGATTGATAGTCATTGTTGCATACTTTTATCCCCTCTCACACATTTTCTTTCCCACACTGGAAGAAAAGACTTGTTCCAGAGCCCTCTGAAATATTTTAAGCCCTTTTTATTTCAGGATAAAATCTTATCCAGGGTAAACGCCGTAGCATCTAACGTCCATCTGAATCTCTGTGACCTTTTTTTTTATAATAAGAACTGAGTATTGGGCAGGTCTCCTACTGCTGTTTGTGGAAAGAAATAATACACTCCTTTCCAGTACTTTTACCTTTGCTTTGTTTTTGTCATACATGCAGTGCTAGTTCAGCTGAAACGGGAGGCAGAGCTCACTTGCTCACAGCTGTGTGCATCAGTGGAATATCCACTTACACAGCCCATGGGGTGGAGGCACAGAGGTACCTGAGAGCACCGGTGCACCTGAAGAGGCCTTACCTGGTGTCTCAGACAGGAACAGCGGCAGGCAGGCTGTAAGGGTAGCCTGAGATTGCAGTGCTGAGAGTTACAAAGCAGCCTCTTTCTGCTCACAAACCAAATCTGACTGAACAAATCTCAGGGGAACATAATTCTGACAAAGAATGCTGATTCATATGACAAATATTTTGCTGGAACATACTGAATTCAGTGTTATCTTCTATAAACAAAACCCATGTAATTCATTTAAGCTCATTTATAAACAAGCTGAGCAAAGCTATGTGGCTATACTGAAGTAAAATACTTTAATAAGGTCATGCAGAATTTCCCTATTAAAAAAAAAAAAAAGCACGTAGAAGACTTTTAGAGGAAATTCTTTATACACTGAATATTCTTTGCAATTGAGGACTTCCCAGATTCACAGTGTAAAGTCAGAATCCACCTGACTTCTCCTCTGGCTAAATTTTATCCAAATCTATGGTAAATGAAGAATATTTGTAGTCTTAATCATACCTTGAGGAACCTGTAGGCACAGAGGTCACTCTTCAAAGAGCACCACATTAGAGAGGTGTAACAATATTATGCCATTCAATAAAACAAATTAAGTTTCTTGCCAACCATATCCTGACTACAGCTCAGTCCAACCTTATCTCTGTAGTCATCCCAAAAGAGATACAACAAATAGCAAGCAGAGATCCATATTGAGTTTTGGGAGATCTACAAAGGGAAACATCAAAAAATTATTTGAACCAAATGTCTTTTATCTTCCAGCTGAAAGAGGCATTCATCTTGTATTACTGTTTCGACTGAGTTCCTTCAGGCCAATCTATGTCACCTTTGCATTACAGAGCTCAGCATTTAAAGTAAAAGCCATCCAAAACTATGTGGGCCCCTGTGGGAGAATGGCTTAGGACAGGGATCCTGACTTCATTTCTTCCCCTGATACCATGGCATGTTAAATATTTCATTAGCATTTCTTTTTAAAGTATCAGACTGTGTTGTTATTAATCACCACACATCACCAGGCTGTGCAAATGAAACTTTAAGCTGTTTAAGCAGAGTAATAAATATATGGTTCCTATCAACTTGCATCTGACTCATCCTGCCCAGTCTTCACAGCCAGACTCTTCATATTTTTAAATCCTCCTTTCTTAAGGCTTTTGTCCTGGATTCCAGTCCCCCTTCCAGCACACGCTAGGCACATGCATAACACGCAGGACAAACTGAGAGCTTTTCACCTCTAACTTTGTCTTACTATAAACACTGGTAGATGCCTCCCTGGAAACCCACCAGCCTTGTGCTGTACCCTAATGCATCTCCATTTCTCCCCAACCTGACAACTCTGCAGTAAATAACTTCAAAAGCCAGCAGTGGCATGACACACAGAAGTGCCAACATCCATATTTTGCAGCTGAGGTCAGAACAGCCTGGACTGCTTGCCTGGGTTCACACAAAATTTCCAAAGCAAAGGTGCCTTTGTCCTGAATCCTAGGTCAGGACCCCATCTGCTGGGTCACAGTGTTATTCTCTTCCTTTGCACATCTTTCTGCAATTGCCTGCCTTCTGCAGGGTTCACATAGAGACCAAAAGAGCCATCTTCTCATAAAAGGAGAAATATTTTCAATGGAAGCTATTACTTTTTAAATTTTTTTTAAAAAATTAAACCATCTATTTCACAGGAACAGGTAGCATCGAGATCCCTGTGCTTTGCTTGCTGGTAAATGGAGGACCAGGCACACTTGAGGTAAGAAGATGTTTCCAGCTTTAGAAAAATAAATTTACTGGTGCCAAGTAATTAATGGAAAATTTGGCTGGATGACAAACACATCCATTGGCACCTTACATAAAGTCAAAATTCACATCTATACACCGTTAAGAACTGAGTTCTGTTAATACTAAATTTGCCAGTATTTTTTGAGGAGAAATATTTCCTTTTGAATAGGCAGAAGTTGATCATTAAAACTTCCATTGCCAGCTTGTCCAGTGGAAAGAAAGAATCCAAATCCAAAACAAACCCACAGAAACCAGCTCCAGATCTAGGGAAAGAGAAATACTGTGTTATTACTTGAGAACATCCACAAAAAAGGAGAGGAATCTTGCAGTGCTCTTCACAACAATGACACAACTGTCTGTCCCAGAGCTCAGAGGAAGCACAAGACCAGGTTTGCAGGACATGCTATTTAAAATGGGAGTGTCCTGGTTCCAATGAGCAAAAGTACATCGTAGGATTGAATGTGGGAGTGTTGTAATGATCCCAAATGATCATTTGATGATCAAAATGATCAAAATGGGTAATGATCCCAAATCTTCTTCAGCAAAGGATCAGTTTTGATTCTTTTCCTCAAAGAGCCTGTTAACAAGGAGATAGTTTTTGATTTTTATTCTATTTTACTTTTCTTTTTTATAATACTCTCAGTCTAGAAATCCTTTAGAGAGACATAATTTAGCTATAATTTAAAGTTTCCAAGTGATGAGACTGTGACATGCAACCTGATAACATCTTTCAGTATAATGACTCCTTTCTGAGGATGCCTTCTAGTTTCAGTTTCTCCTATCTTGTCATAACTTTTGTCAGCTGGACTAAAACACATACTCATATTAGAAATCTCAGTGTTTAAACAAAGATTATATCACCTCATGAGCTTGCTTGCTTTCTTCCATAAGAAGCTAAATATTGTAGTGTTTTCTATATCTTTGGTTTAGAAAAATCCCATGTTATGACATGTAAATCCTCTCTACAAAGTTTTACAGAACAGTGTGACTGGAAGACAAAATGTCACTGGCTGGAGCTGCTCTAAACTGACATGTGCTGGGAATGGATAACTGGCTGCACTTTTTTAGAATATCAGTTTCAAAAATGGATATCTTAAAATGGATAATACACAGCAGAGAACAATTTTAAAAAACCTCAATACCTAAACTGAAGAAAAAAAGCCCCTGCAACACAATTCAATCAATGCAGTCTTGTATAACTCCAGAGGAAGAAACAGACTGGCAGCAAATAGACATTTTTGCAATTATCATGCTGTGGCCTCTGCTTTCCTCTCTCAACAACCTGCCTGACTCATTCTAATTGCACAAGTAATAGAATTAGTAGCCTTTAACTCTTGTAGTTGCAATGATTCAGTGGTTTTGGTTTTTTTTTCCTGTAGTCCAATGTTGTATTCCCACAGGCAAATTCCTGGTTTTCAGAACATATTGCCAGGTTTAGCAGACAGGAAAAAAAGGCTTATACAAAAAAGCCTGCTGATAATTTCTGCATAGGGCTACTCTTGCACTTGACTATGCTGAAACAGAGACTTAAGGGGAAAAAAAAATGTCAGGGTCAAAAAAAATTTTATGCATTGCTTGTCCAAATCAGGTTGCTTAGCTACTCAGCAGATGTGTCATGAAAAGCAGCATAATCAGAGGCCTATACATGGATGACCTGCAGCAGAATTCAAAAAATCTTAATAGCTTAGAGGAGTCTGGACTGATTCCATAGTGAATCTGACTTAGAGACACATTTATTCCTGGTTTGCTAGAAGCCCTTCTTTTGAATAACATTTTCTTTCCACTTATGAATTCTAAAAATTTCCTATTTTAAACTACAGAGAATTTGCAGTGGGTTGGAAAATTCTGCTCCCTGGCTTATCTTAGCAGGGTCTGGAGGTACAGCTGACATCTTAGCTGCATTCATGAATGACCCACAGCTTCTCATGCCAGAAGCTGTTGAAAAGCAATTTAAGGAGAAATTCCCGGCAGAGAGCTTCTCGTGGAAGGACATTCTCCAGTGGACAGTGACAGTGAGTTTGTATGTTTGATAAGTCATCATGATCACAAAGCTGTCTCCTAACACCTGTAGCTTTGGTAGCCCCTTCAGTACAGGTTTGGCAAGAAGCTGCTCAGAAGTTTTGGGAACTCCAGTGCTTTGACACTGGTGTCATAGAATGCTTCTCTAGCATTAAAAATCAAGTGGTCATTTGATCCTGCAAGCTACTTTGTTGCCCCAGTAATTCAGCTGAACACTTAGGGCTCTGTCCTTCCTCAATTACTTCCTCAAGCAACAGCCAGCATCCAGGAACCCGACAGTCCTTCTTGTAGGACAAGGAGCATTATTTATATCCACAGCTGTGGAGCTTGTGCAGCTGCAACAGAAGAGACCTAATTCATGATCTACAGCTGTTAAATGGAAACCTAGTTGTGGATAAGCATGAATAAATTAAGTAGAATGAAGCGTGCTTAGAAATGATCTTATCTATTGTCAGTTACTTGGTCTTTAAGAATTATTGTTCTTAAAACAGAAAGACAAAGCAGATTCAGAGATCCTCATTACTCTTTGTCTTGGGGTACACTTGCATAAGCCTTTTAGAAACAAATACCCACTTTGAGATCATCCTTGTGTGAAGACTGAAGAGCATTGGGTGCCTCTGAGATAAACCAAGTCCACCTGACCTAGCCCACTACTTGTCCTTTACATTCCTTGCTTTAATCCTCAGCTTTAAAAGTTCCACATACTAATTCCATTAGGAAGAACTTTACCAGATCACAAAAGGGGATGAAAGGCATCCAGAAGCAATATTGCCAGAGGCTCACAAAGTCTCAGTGCAGCTGCACTGCAAGAAAGAAAACTCAATAAATAGAGAAGGAGAAGGAAAGAGTACTGTATATATATCAATATTTGAGGACTTCTACTCAGAGAAGAGTTAGAGACTATGCTTTTAAATAAACAACTCAGAGAACAAAACTTAAATGTCAAAGCAGGATGAGGTAAAATGAAACTAGTGGTATGCTTCCTATAACATGACTTTGAGTCAAATAAGAATGTAAGTTAAGAAAGGATCTTTTGATTAAAGCACTGCTCTGGTTCTCAGGATATCCATGTTCTGTTCCTCCTATCCTGGTGGGTCACTTGGAAAAGGCAGCAACTCCCTCCTTGCCTTAGGAGTTCTTTATACATCAGAAACTAATAATGTTTGCCTTCTTGCCAAACCTCAGCTTTACAATTACAACATATATCTTTGGGAAATACTGTATGGGTGATCTCCACTGGGCATTTGGGCACTAATATACATCCAAAGGACAATGTGTAAAATTACTTTTGTTTTGAGTCTAAATAGATTCAGAACATTATTTCACACCAGAATCTTCTAACTCTGCACAACTTTGAGCAAGATGGTTCAGAAGAGCTAGACACAGTCATTCTAAAAGCTTTAGTAAAAGGTAAGATACAATAAACAAACATTGCAATGTTTGTCTTGACTTCTATGCCATAAATATATTTCTTTTTTCAGTGCAAGTTCAGTTGACTGTTGGATTAGATTTCATTTCTGGTGCACCGTTCTTATGTTTGTTTATTGACAAATTATCTGTGGTAGTTACTGTAGCTCTTGTAAGCCTTCTTTAAACTAGTGTTTGCTTTTTAATCTCATGCTATTGTATGGTACTATTTTAGTCACTCCTTTATTTCATTACTTGCCTCTGTTATTAACAGAGGTTATAAAAGAACTGAAATATACAGAAGCAGTATATTATTCCAATTAAACCATTCCATGAAAACAAAGCCAAAACTCACAAGTAGACCAAAACCACCTTTATTTCAGAAACAGTCTATTTCTCCTATAAGAAATCTCCACTATATCTTCTGAAAGAAGACATTACTTGTGCTGCCATCTGTTTCAGTTTCTGTTAACTTAATGGTTTGTGTTAGCTTAAACTTAGCATGGGAAGGGGGGAAAAAAAAAGACATTCTGTTCCTGATGTGCTAATTGACACAAGGCAAAACCAACAGCCAGTCCTGTCCCCTGTTTTCTGCAGGCCAGGGTCCTTCTCAATACCCAAAAGCCATTCAAACTTAATGCTTTAAATAGAGAGTTCATCTAGAAAAAATAACGTTTTTGAATATTAGTATTTTTTAACTTAGGAAAACATTGCTGTGAAGGGTTTCTGGTTAAGCAACCCATGGATCTGTGATAGCTGAAGGAGGACTTGCACAGCTAATCAAAGTACCAATACTATATTAAATTAAACATAACTGTAAAGTACTGACTTTATTTGCATTTCCTATTTTTTTCCAGCCTGTAAAAGTCAGAGCCAGGAGGCTAAGGAATATCTGGATGAACTGAAACTGGCAGTGGCCTGGAATAGGGTTGACATTGCTAAAAGCGAAATATTCAATGGGGACGTGGAGTGGAAGGTATGAGGTTTTTTTGCCTTAGAGGACACCCAGTGTGTCCAATGTGTACAGGACACTGCAACATCCCAAAAGATGGCTTCAGTTTTTAATACCCTCTGCACACTCTACTGAGAGATTAGGCAGGGGTATTATGCTTCCTGAGGCTGTTTGTCTTTCTGCCCCACATATGATAATGGCTAAAGACAGAGGAATAACTCAGTGGTCATCTTCTCTTTCTTGTGCTGTTGGAGAGCAACAATCTTTCTCCTCTTCTGTACAGACCTTTAAAGCAAACAAACCAAAGTTTACAAAGCACAAGAAGCAGGCAGATATTACTGTTAGAAGGTGGCATGAAGAATGTCACTGCTTTCAACTGCTATATAAATACTCAATGGGGTGGGTACCTTACATCAAGTCCTACAGCACACAATTTATGTTTATGTTGATGTTTTAATATTAATGCTGGCATAGACATTTTGTCAGAGAAAAATGGAGAGTTCCACCTCTTTCTCATTGTATTCACTGTTGACTGGTGGAAGACAAAATGTGCATGTCCTCATGTTAAATCTTACCTCTCTCATCATTCATCCATGATTACCCCCCAAAATTTCCCTTTTTTGGCTTGTTTTTTTTTCCCCCTTTCATCAATCTAGTCCTGTGACCTGGAAGAAGTGATGATGGATGCTCTGGTCAACAACAAACCAGAATTCGTAAAGTTATTTATTGACAATGGGGCTAACATATATGAATTCCTGACCTACAGTCGTCTACAGAGACTCTACTGTTCCATTTCTCAGAAATGTCTCCTCTATGAGCTTCTTCTGAAGAAACATGAAGAAAGCAAACTGACCTTGGCAGGGCTGACTGGTCAGCAGCAAAATGAGCAGAAGGAGATGTGCCCCCTCTTCACTCTCAGTGAGGTCTCTAGAGTTCTCAAGGATTTTCTTCATGATGCATGCAAAGGTTTCTATCAAGACCTCAGACATGGAGGCAAGAAGAAGGCTGTGAGTCTCAGCTTTGCACTGTAGTTCTGCTCCCCTCCAATTCAGAATCTGTACAATTTTAACTAGGTCTAGTCTTAGCGGTGGGGAAGGGAGCAGATTTAGTTAGAGATGTATGGGGAATACAAATAAGATTTATATTTACTAAGGAGGGATTAGACATAAAACTAGTGGGCTTTTATCATACAGAACTTCAAGAAGTAGTACTGGAAGGGCAATTTTTTCTAGGAGAAAGAAAAGCAAGAAATGGAGATTTTCAATCCCGGGTCTGAAAATGGTCATCTTTGTACACAAACTATTCTCAGATTTATACTCTGTATGAGTAGATCATACTCAGTATTGATATTCAATAATATCCAGTATTTGATATTTACCTTGAGATCATTTTTGTCTTTTTATGGAGTGCCAGAACACAGAGCAAGAAATAGGAACAATTGTGTGACGTGGCCCTGGAAAGTGTGCTGGCCAATATATGATAAGGATAATATGTGATGGGGGTACCAATGTGGTATTTCACAGTGGTGCAATAGCTGCATCATCATTTTTGCATTTTGACAGTGTATTTAACATTAAAAAGCCCAAGTACCAAAGTTCTTGCAAAAGCACTGAAAATAGGTTTGGGCACAAGGTTTCAAAACAAAGATGTATCAAGATATTTCAGTAGGGTTCTGTTTCAGACAAACTGAAAACAACCAAGCCTTTTGGTATTTTCACAGTTATAATTATACCTTAAAAATTGTTAAAATTAGAAACTAATTTAAAAAAAAAATCTTATTTGCGACTTTAAATCACTTTTGCTTTGGTAAAGCCTAGTTAAATTAATTAGTAGTAGTATGTAGTATGAAAATATAAGTTTGAATCTACTCAGGGTTTCTTCATTCAGAAGGATGAACAAATTGAGGCGATACTTCTGAAGTCACTAAGCATATTCCAGACTTACACAGTTGCCAGAAATAAAAATTTTCCCCCAAAGCCTCACTTAGCCTTTCTGGCATTTGGCAGCAGGTGAGCTAAAGCCCAGTGCTGTAGATAAGGCCCAATTCAGAGATCAGCTCCTGCTGCCTACCAGCTTTTATTCTTTTAAAGCTTCTTCCCATGGCTGAATTCCATTATCATTGACACCAGAAAGAGCATCACAGTACTGGGATATCAGCATCACTGCAGCCAAATTGTGTGTCTTTTTTTAAGTTAGGAACAAAGATGAGACTTTCAGGATATCTTTGTCTCCTCTGAAGTTTTCAATGCAATTCAGTTGATTCAATAGCTCACTACAAACTGAAGAAACACCCCCCAACATCCCCCAAAAGTACCATTAAAATAAATATGAACAAAATCACATAATTATAAAAAAAAATTATTCTCACAAAAACCTGTTTAATTAAAAATAAGTACACCCTGGCTGCTTCTAACCAACACAATAGATAAAAAGGTAGTTTTTAAATATATTTAAAACTCAGAATTTGACCTAAGTGGCTACACTTCCTCTAGACATTTTTTTTTTAATCAAGTGCTAAAGGAATAAGCAGTGTTCTACTTGAACTGCTCTCTGCATGAGGGAAAGGTTTCTCAAAGGAAAGAATAAAAAGGGGTATTGATGTACTCTGTTCTTGTCCTGTACAGGGCCTTGGTGAGATTTATTTCTGGTGAAATAAAATGCCCTTTGTTCCCTTTTCTCTGAAGCTGTGTCCTCTGTGGCAGCCGAGCAGAGTCCAATATAATTGAAGGCAAGCTCAGATTAGTTAATCACAGGTTTGTCTTGTCTGATATTACACACCAGTGGTGAAACCCTGGCCTTAATCAAGTCAATGAAAACCTTAGCATTGGCTTCAAAGGAGTCACCCTTTCATCCAGAATGTTCTCACACGTATTGGGTTCTATCAGGGACACAGGGATCCTTTAACTCACTACAGAATGAGTTAATTATCTTGATGTCCTACTGAAAAGTCAAAGAAATATGAAGTAGCCAGCGAGGCCGAGAGCATCTTAGACCATGTCATTTGCACGGAGTGAGACTGTGAATCAGGTTTTAAATTCTACAAACCATATTTCAGGACAAAACGAACACAAAGCGATTACCTGGGCCCTTGGACATGAACCAGAAAAGCGAAAATCCTTGGAGGGATTTGTTTATATGGGCAGTACTTCAAAACCGGCACAAGATGGCAAACTATTTCTGGGCTATGGTAAGCTCTGAGCTGCGGCCGCTTCAGGTGAAGTATTGGCATATTTCAAGTTTACGAGATGGGTTTTTTTGCTCAGCTTTGCAGCTCAGATGACAGATAGGTTTGTTTCCATAACACGAAACTTGGCATTTATAGGGCCTTTTATCTCTGCGTGGCTCCAGCCCTCGGGGGCCATGGGGAGAGCCGGAGCAGGTGTAGATCGGCCCGGGCTGCAGCTCGGCTCGCTGCTCCCGATGGCTCCCGGCTCCCAGCCGCGGGCTCCGTGCTTCCGACAATGGCCAATTGTTCGGCTCCGAGCGTGACGGGAGGGAAGCGGAGCGATGCAGCATCTTTCGCTTACGTGCTCCATGCGTAGCGAGCAGCATCACGCTCTCCAAGGCTGAGCTTCGAGCTGGCATAATCGGCTCCTGTTCCACAGCCCAGCGCTGTCCCCCGCATCTGGGAGCCTCCCTGCCCCCAGAGAGGGAGAGGGGAGCGCATCTGTCCCGGGGCAGCCCGGGCCGGGCTGTGTGCGTGCGGACACCTCTGCAGCCCCGGCCCGCTCCGTGCCAGCGCTCAGCCTCGGCCAGCTGTGCGCCCTCCTTCCTCGCACATCTGTGCCACAGCACAGCCGTGCTGGAGGCACCTCCACGCAGCGAGAATGTGGTGCTCTGCCTCCAGAGCGTATTATTCTCCTTACAGTCCTTCATTGCTATCCTAAATCAGAGCCAGAAGTCTCCAGCCTTACAAGGCAGAAGGACCACCAATAAAGAGCCATGGAATAGTTTGGGTTGGAAGCGACCTTAAAGATCATCCAGCTCCAACCTCCAGCAATGGGCAGGAACACCTCCCACTAGACAGGTTTGCTCAATGCCCCATCCAGCCTGGCCTCGAACACTGCCAAGAATGGGGCATCCACAATAGGCGGTTTTAATTCCCAGCTATCATCAAAACTCTCATTTTGATCAGCACTTTCGACTTTCAAAGCTGTATTGGAGGAAAGATTTTTCTTGACAGGCATGAACTTTTTGCTGTTGCTGTTCAATGTGTTGCATAGCTGAGCCTTCCCCATTCAGAAATGTGCTCCAGTGGAGGGTGACAGCAGCACCCCTTTCAATCCTACAGGGTCAGGAGGGTGTAGCTTCAGCTCTGGCAGCCTGCAAGATCCTCAAAGAGATGTCCCGCCTGGAGACAGAGACCAAAGCAGCCTCTATAATGAAAGAGGCCAAGTATGAGCAGCTCGCTGTTGGTAAGTAATGGCACTTTTTGAATGGCATTGAAAATTTAAGAAGCAACTGCCATTGGAAAGCAAGCAAGGGAAAAAAAGAAAAATACTGTTTCAGTTGTGAAAGGTCAACTTCCATGAATAATTCAACAGCCTTGCAGCACAGGCAGTCCCTAACATTCAGATACAGAGGAAAGATTTAAAACCCACTAATTTGGGGAAAATCTGTGGTGCAAGACAGGCCCCCTGGGATGCATGGATACTCTCCTGCTGCTTGTTGGTATTTTAATTGTCTGATCTCAGTACAAGGTTTGCCACAGTGATGTGGAAGATAGAATAACCAAAGCACTTCCAGGCTCACAGCAGCCTGCCTTTCCTGCAATATCAAGCTTGCTCTGTAAGGGCCACTAGAGCAACAAGTTTAAAGTTTTGTCATTGCAGCTAAAAATAATTTGAGATTACCTCACCCAGAAGAGGGCCAAGTGCACAGCAAACTGCAGTGAGGCTCAGGCTGGTTTCACAGCAGACAAGATGCCCCTCCCTTACAGCAGTCAGAAGCAGGCATCCGCAATGCTGGAACGCTGAGCCCTCTCTCCCCTTTGCTTGCTTTAGAAACAGATGTGTGCACACAAGCTTCTCTGCTGATCTGACTTCAGTCCAATCCATACCTTCACTGCTGTGAGAAAAGGGCTTTAAAATATGCCCCACATGGAAAAAAACTCCTCTCCCTCTGAGATAGTTCATCAAGCAGCTGAAGGCTCATGCAGGCGTTGCTACATTATTTACATACAGATCACATTTTCCCTTCTTCTCACAGGGAGATTATTACTTACAAAAATTAAAAATTAGGTTCTCATATAATCACAGAGCTCAAGTAATTTAGTCATGAATTATGGGGCCTAGTCCAATACATAGAACTTCTGCTTCTTGGCTTTGATAAGTATTAGATCAGATCCTCAGTTTTAATTTCTGGCCTGGATTATGCAAAGCATACTTTCTTTAAGAATGGTAAATACCACAGCAACTAGAAAAGATGTCTGTATATCATTTTAAGTGTACTTGATCTTTTTGCCCAGCCTTACAATGTAACAAGGCATGGGCTAGCTTAGGAAAGGTACTGAGATAATCAAGTGAATCAGTAGAATGGAACAGACATGGGAAGTCAGATCTTGTCTGATGAGAAGACCTTGGTTTGGTTGGTTTTTTTTTTTGGACTGTTTAAATTTATCCTGGTTTCTAAGCTCCAGGACCAGTTTCTCTGGAAACAACTATGCCATTACACTCCTCCAGGTCTAATATTAATTTATGTCAAGTAGCTTTGTCTTAAAATGAAGGATTTGTTGTCTACAAGACAAAGCTGAGCTGCTTGTCTTCTTTAGTCTGTTCAGGAGAGTAAGGACAGCATGAAAACTCACCCTTCAAAGTATAAGAGGATCACCCAAGAGATACATTTTTTTGTCTGTGTTTCCTTCGTATGGCAGAACTATTTAGTGAATGCTACCACAACAGTGAGGAGAGAGCGTTTGCACTGTTGGTGAGGAAAAATCAGTACTGGAGTAAAACCACATGCCTTCAGCTGGCCACAGAAGCAGACACAAAGTCTTTCTTTGCACATGACGGTGTCCAGGTAAGTTTCACACGCCCCCGGGGCCTTAAGTTGGACACAGGTGAGGACTCAACAACCCCAATGAATGTATTTCCCTAAGAACCATCCTTTGGAGAAGGGACCCTTCTCTCCCCCAGCAATAGACAAAGAGGACATTATACAATATCCTTGCCAAAGCAGCCCAGTTCCCCCTTTCCCCACCCTCTCATCCAGTTGGCACACAGACCAGCGTGCTGAGGAGAAGGTTTAGCCCTTAATCCTTCGTGTGCATTTTGCTTTTTATTCCTTCCTCGCTCACAGAGAAATATCAGAAAAGCACTGTAAATCTGCCTGGGGCATAATGAAGCTGCTCCAAGATATGAGGTAACTCTTTGTTCAGATTCAAGAGAGAGCTCACTGATAAAAGTTAAATTAAATTACTGTTCAGCTTTGCTCTCACAACCTGACTTTTCTCTGCATACACAAAGCTAAATTAAGAGTGATGCTGCTTTTATCTCCCAGTGACTGACTTGGGCTTCCTTAATACTACAGATGTTGTTTAATTCCATTTGACTTGCTGTTCTTTCCACTGGTCTCCAAATAACTCTGCATACTCAACATCTGCAGGACACACAGAGAACCTGTTTGCTCTGAAGCTGTGAGGTTTTCAGAGCATTCACCATCTTAGGAGTCGCTGAACATAGGAGTACTTTATCTGCAAGTACCTTTTTGTGATATTAAAGCCATCTCTTTTCTTCTTGACTTTCAGGCCTTCCTGACAAAAATATGGTGGGGAGACATGTCTACAAGCACACAGATCCTCAAGTTAATCTGTGCATTCTGGTGTCCTTTCCTAATCTACACAAATTTAATATCATTCAGGTATAAACATAACTATTTGGGTCCAAGAGATAAATAAGTGATGAAAAATAAGCCATTAAAAATATCCAGACTCAAAATTTCTCCCTGAAGTGATTAAAACAGTAACATCACCTAATATCACCTAACCAAATCGGTTTTCTACAGGGCTGCGTGATTTGTGTGTCCTGTGCTAGTGCCTGTTGTCATACTTAAAATATCAATGCCACAGTTTCACAGAGATCATTCTATTTTGCAGTCTACAGGAAAGCCTGTTAGAATTCTGTCAGCTCCAGATTCTTCACAGCAATGCATAGAATATTTTGCAGCTGTAGCACCATTTGTTTGTAGATTTGGAGATGTCTGGCTCAAACCTCAGTATCTTATCCAAGGAAAACAGCCATCACAAAGCAGTGTTAGCAGCCATAAGCCTTGATAATCATAACACATGATTGTTATCACAATACACAGGACTGACATTAAATTATCAGTCAATCAATCAATTAAGATTTTCAAATTCAGTGCCTTACAAACCTTAGGTTTTCTTGAAAACAAGGCCATGCACAATAAACCCCAACAACTCAAAATAAAAAAAACCACACCACAAAAACCAACCAACTAAAAAAAAAATTAAAAAAAAAAAAAAAAAAAAAAAAAAAAAAAAAAAAAAAAAAAAAAAAAAAAAAAAACCCCCCCCCAAAAACCCACCAACAAAAAAAAAAATTAAAAAAAAAAAAAAAAAAACAAAACAGAAAAGAAAATAAAAGAAAAGAAAGAATAGCAGCCAAGCTGCTCAGATGGTCGAAAATTTGGGCTCTGACACTTTAGGAAAACTTCATAACATCCAGAAAATCATACACAAATCATAAGAATTGGCAATACGAAATGACATGTTAATATGAAATACATTTTTCTTAACTCAATCTACATAAAAAGCAAGAGGAAAACTAGTTTGGCAATGCTGACTTAAGATTTGCCTTCAGCCAGTATCACTAATGATGATCTTCAGCTATCAGATTCACAAATTCATTCAATGTGATGATTTCCATTTTTTGTCTCCTTTCCCTGGACATGCACATGTCACATGCCCCCTACTTCTTCTGGCATTTCCCTTCTTAATTGCTACTAAGAGTAACTAGGAAAGGAGCATTGAGCAATTCTCTTCTAAGCCTGACTGAGGGGTCTATTTCTGCTCAAGTCATAATTAGTCTGAAGAAACTGAGCATCCTGCTCCATTTTTATGAAGCACATCAATTACCATTTCTCTGAATCCTGTGGGTGACTTCAGCTTCCTCCTTAAAAATAAACAGAATTAATAAAGATTAAGTTTATGCCCTATTTAATAACTCCCCAGCAGAACAGATCCAAGATAAGTACATGCTAGCAGTTCTGTATCAGTGCCAATTCAGTAGTGAAAAATGGCTAAGCATCATCTTTTAACTAATGAGTTTATTTCCTTACAGTGAGGAAAAACAATCAAAGGATGAGCCAGAGCCATTTAGAGAGCTGGACAGTTTGGATTCAGAGAGGACTCTGTTTTTCTCCAAGGAAGAAGATAGGTAAGTTTAAAACCCATCAGCTAATGTAACTTCAATGAAACAGTCAAAGAACAGGACACTTCTCATGGATTAGTGACCAATTAGTGATGTAAGGAGCAGCTGAAGGGCCAAGAAAGTCATTATTCCTCAGGAAGTGCTGTGCCCTTGGCTTACTGCTGTTGTTGCTCTCTCAAAGGAATATAGAAAATAAACAGGGATATAGCACTGTTTTAAGGAGACACCAGTTTACTTTTTCTGAGCAGGTAATGTCTACAGAACAAGGAATTTACTTGGGAATCAAATAGCATTTCCTGACATTCCCATCAGCTCGTGATGACCAATACACAATGGACTTTAGGAAGTTATCAGATTACTGAGCTGAACAGAAAGAAGGTTCTCAGCAAAACCTTACATCACTGCGTACTTTCTTACAAAGGTATACTTACACCCGTCAGTACCAGGGAATTTTATGCTGAGTCAGTTTCTCATGCTCTTAATTTATATTTTAACAGATGAGCCCTGAGGAACTTTACGAGTTAGAGGCAGCATCACGCAAATGGGTAACTGAGCACAAAGGTTTTGTCAGTTGCTTGTGGTCAGTCATAGATCTTTGATTCAGAAAAGAATCCCCACCCCCATACCTCTACCACACACTCATCACCAAAATCTGAGAGAACACAAGGACTTAAGTCAGGATAAGTAGACTTTTGATTGGCACAAAGTCCTCTTAATGGCTAAAGAGTGCTAAATTACCACTTATCTTTTCCATGATTTAAAGAGAACTCCAGAAATATGTGAACAGAGGCAGAGAGGAAGCATCAGCTGCAGTATGAAGTCCTAGACCAAGCCAGAGTTATTAGGTTCTATTTTTACCTTTGGCATTTAACTGCTGGTATATTGGAGAAAATCATTAGTTCTTTTCTCTCCCTCCCTAACCTATAAAATAGGTGTAAAAGCATCTGCCTCTTGGGAGCTATTTGTAAGCAATATCATAAAGCACTTCCATATCCTGAGTGCAGCATGGTTTGGTCATTACATTCCACGTTCCAATTGCTATTATCCTAGCAATTTATTTTAACAAAGAGGCTCTCTCCCCCAGATCTATTTCAGCATCTTACAGTAAAGCTGCAATTATCTGTTTATGATATTAGCCTGTTACCATGGGAATGTATCTCATGATGTCATAAATTGAGAGGTAGTACTGAATCAGGCAGATAGAAAAGATTGGCCGCAAAGAGAACTTTTTCCTTGTAACAAATGTATTTAATAATTAGCAAGATTGTCAGAGGAAATTAAAAACCAGTAAAGAGTCACTGTTTATTTTCTGTGAGGTGAAATTGAAAACATACCCTAGTGTGCACATCCTTTGTTGGAGATCAAACTTCTCAGAGTAAGAATCACAAAATTAAAGGTCCAATAACATCCCTAGCTTACACAGGAGAGCATTTTATGTGGAAACAAATCTCACACAAAGATCAAATTGCTATCAGACTTGCATTTTCTTCACAGGATAATTTCCATTGCCAATAGATATCACTTCATGTTCCAAAACACAGCAAAACAGCTGTAGATGTACAGGTCAAATTTCCCTTCAGTTACCAAAATACTTTTGTGTCATTCCACAATGCTCAAAGACAACCTAAATACATAATATATGAAGTCAACTCTTTTTGCTAAAAGGCTTCCATATTGCTTTTTTTGCAACTTACTCTAATTTAATCACAAAGGAGAAAGATGCCAGTTCTGTAAAGGAGCAAGGTATTCTTCAGCAGGTCTGTCAGATTCCGGCAAGGATAGTCAAGAAACACAGGCTTAGTACAATCCAGCACTTAGAGACTGGGTCAGAAGTTTAAAGTCACAGCAGCAACAAGAACTTCTGCAGACAAAAACTGCAAGAAAATCTTAAAGCAAAGATAATTAAGAGCTGACTCACAAAATCTCATTGGCCATTTTCTTTTCTTTCCTAATGTATAGGTATATAAAGAGCAATTACCCTTCCCCCTCTCCTTGTGCATTTGCACTCCATGCAGGAACACAATCAAGTTAACGAATAAAATTAATCCAGCTAAATTGAAACCACAAAAATGTGCACATACTTCTGATGTGACTTTGTTTTTCAAAACCTTTTTGATTTGAAATATTTCTGCTATGGTAATGTGATTGCTCTGACTTCTACAGCCTTCCCCCTTGGCCAGCCCCAGCATCTGCCTGTTACTATCTTACAAGAAGCTTTATATAGAATAATATTGAGCCTATTCCCATGAACTAATTTTAGGAGATTGTCACCAAGCATGTATTCTTTTTGGTTTGCAGAGGAAATGACACACTGGAAAAACAGAACCCTTCTGCAAACACAGCATGGGCAACATTCATGTCTACCCGGTGGAGAAAATTCTGGAGTGCCCCTGTAACTGTGTTTATGGGGAATGTTATAATGTATTTTGCTTTTCTCTTTCTATTTACTTATGTCCTTTTACTGGACTTTAAACCACCTCCGCCTCAGGGTCCATCTGTTAAAGAAATTGTACTCTACTTCTGGGTGTTTACCCTTGTCTTGGAAGAGATCCGACAGGTGAGTAACCTGCATCACCTTAGTACAAACACAGCAAAACCTGCAGCAATATTTTCAGGAGATTTACAATCTGTGTAGCTGTACAAGCTTGGAGATTTCAAGTGTTAGGTGCACAGGTGAACAATACAGAACTTACCCTATCCTAAATATCTCACCTCTCTCTCCTAGAGCAAGCTCTTCCTCCACCTCTGTTTTTCCATCCTACTGCAGTCTTAGCCAAGCCAAGTGAGCTACCAGCATTCAGATATTCTTTGTTTTGTAAAGTCCCTCTCTGATTTCACTCCCCAGAACTAAGTCCTCCCACCACAAATAATGTAAGTTGGAAGTTATATTCTACACCTGGAGGCACAGCAGACAGCTCTACATCCTTTTAGGAGACTCTTCCTTGCTAGGGACTGTTTAAAAAATCACAAGCAAATGAATTCAGATTATTTGTGGCTTTTCCTAAAATACTCTTCAACTCAAAATATTAGCATATCTCTTTTGGGCTTGCTTTTCTTTAAAAAAAACCAACCAACCAAAACCACCAACCCCCAAAAGCCCTTTTCCATTAGTCTCCTATTACTGGTTTTGGAATGACTTCAGTTCAAAAACTGAAATAATAACAGCAGTGCAAGTGTGTTGCCAATTGTGGGTGCATAAAGTTCTTCTCTTTAGACACAAAAATAAAAGCAGTTAAAATAATTTACCCTGGAAGAAACAGTAGGTGTTCATTATTTAAGCAAAACACACAGGGATATTTGTCACAATTTGAAATTATGCAGCAAGGCCATAACCAGAGGAGGACATGGAAAATATCTGGATCAAAAAACATTTCATTATAAGCCTGTAAAACATGAAGACTGCCAGTCTAAAACACAATTAAGAAAGCCAACTCCTTGCCTAGATAATCAGACGTGCCTTCAACTGACAATTCCAGTATACAAATGGCAAATCTGTTCATGCTGTTTAGATAGCAATGCCTAGAAACTGAACTCTGACTGGAAGTTGCATTGTTTAACAGCTTTTTTTTTTTTCCTCTTTGCAATGAAAGAGAAAAAGGCAACAGGTATTATGCTAAAACTCAGAAGGAAAGAGTGAAAGTGAAAAGTGATTAATACCAATGGTTATTTCTTTTTTTTCAGAGTTTCTATACAGATGAAGACACAAACTTAATGAAAAAATTTAAACTGTACGTGGAGGATAACTGGAATAAATGTGATATGGTGACCATCTTTCTCTTCATAATTGGGGTAACCTGCAGGTATATATTTGCTCCACATGAAATGGTCAGCATCAGTAGCAAGGGCTGTGTATGTCAACTGACAGCTGACTTTCATGTGCATGAGAGGACAGGCTCTCACATTCATTTTTACAAACTTTGAGACATGCTTCTGCAGTAGGAGCCCCTAAAACTGATATATTCAAACACATGTACTGAAAAGCTCTGCTTTGTTTGTTTGTTTTCCAAAATCTCTTTTTCTCAAGGTACCTTTTGTCTCTTTATTTGTTAATAAATCTCACTGAAGCCAAGAGAGAGAAAAGAGTGTTCCTCCATCTTTTGGTTATTTCTCATCACTGTACAGACATTAGCAGTACTTGCTGAGAGCTGACACTTCATTGCATGTGTTCTGCAGGATGCTGAACTCAACTTTTCAAGCTGGTCGTACAATACTTGCCATTGATTTTATGGTGTTTACACTTAGACTTATCCATATTTTTGCAATTCACAAACAACTTGGACCAAAGATCATAATCGTGGAAAGGATGGTAAGTGTGCAGTCTGTCTCAGATAAATACTTGTGCCTTCTAAGAAATGGTGGATATGAAATCTTGTATTTAGAAATACCTTTATAATCTGTCTTTATTTTTACATTTTTAAGGCTTGTCATTTTGCATATTTCTGTATTTTATAAGATGCAATGTTTGAAATAGATCATGTCAAAGACCTCTATAGCTGGTCCCAATTTACTAATCCTTATACCTCACCTAATAATCTATCCTCAGATCTGTCAAATGAAGAGCAGTCTTTGCCTTACTGCTATTCCACCTACTTCCTAAGCTGTGTGCATCTAGGGCAAACACCTCAGGCAGATGGCAGGCCATGTACAGAAGCGCAGGGCTTCCAATGCATGACTTGGGGAAACAAATTATGGTTTTTGCAGCAAGTGTGGAAAAGAAAAATCACTGAAAAAGGATAGTTACAAGTTTCCTACAGGAGTTATTCTTACTTGTACTTTTTAGTTCCCTGTTACAATGAAAACATATTAGTACTTTGTAAGCAGATTTTGGAAGATGTTGATAAAATATTTTTATTTATTATCACTCTCCTGTGGGAAATGAGACATTGGGATTACAGTTACTGTGCTTGGGTATGCATTGGTATGCCAAAGTAGCTTTTTATTTAGGCATGTTAATCCTCCAGGTCAATTAGCTCATGCTAACTGATTAATAGAGTTCATCTAATTGTGAGTACCGTTACAGAATCTACAAATATTTGATTTGTGACTCACAGCAGAACTCAGCAAAAGCTCTACAGTCTAAACAAGCCCATACATTGAATAAACATAACTACCAAGCTATGTGGATTTTGTCTATAAATGCAATAACTGGAACTCTAACATGACATTTGGTTGGACTGGCAAAGGGGTAAATGGCAAATAAATATTTGTTCTTGTTCATTATCTAGCTTATGGCATTAGCAGACTTCTATTGTAAGAGAACAAGTCAGATGAACAGCTCCTAACCCTTCCTTCGCTGCCTGCCAAGCTAAACCAGGGTCTTGAACAAGTCCTACAAGATAACCCAAGGATTGGGAAGATGCAAACAGGAACATAAACAGCAGCCTAGACAAAACCCTAACATAGGCTCTTTTATCTTTGCCCCACTCAAGCCAACACAATGCCTCAGCTTTGGTATTTCAGTGTTGAACCTTACATCAAAGAAAGAAACAGTGAGGGTAACTTCAGTAAAGGAAACCTGCTTAAAGGGTTCAAGGGGGTTCACACAAAATCATCTCCTTTATTTAATGGAGAAGCCACATTGAAGACGAATCCCATGTCTCTTATGGTCTTTCCCCTTTATACCCTTGCTACAGATTTGCAGGAACAGGTCTGGTAATTTCTAAAACGCCAGAACAGTGTTCATTCCAGAACCATACTTCCAGAGACACTGCAGAGAGGAAAAAAATAGTTCCAGACTTGTCACCATCCTCCCATCACCATGATCCAGTTACAGCCCTGCAGTATTCCTAAATCTTACATCATCCAGAAAACAAAATAGACTGATGGAAGTCAGACATCAACTCTGTCTTGTCTGGCTTAGAGCCAATGTTTCTTATCACAACTCCAAGTAACATCCTGGAGCTCTGAAATGCCTGTACTTTTGGGTAACTGTACAATCCACTAATCTAATTGAAATGAATCTACAGTCCCTAATGAACTCTGCCAGATCAGATGGGGAGAGGATGAAGTGTTCCTCTTGCACCAGGGAAAAATTATTGCACTTGAAATGCATATTAGATTTTTTTTTTTTAAGTAAGTGTTTTAGGATTCAATTACTTCTGCTTCTGTAGAGAAACACAATGTTTAAAAGCAGGAAGCCCCAAAAAGAATCTTTCAGATGCATCACTTAGCTTGAAAACTGAAGACAGAAGGAACCTGATCCTTGCAGCCTTCACTGCCTGCTGTATCAGTAGCTCAGTATTCATCAATGAGCACTGACTGCTACCAGGATTCTCTGCTGCAGCAGAACTCTTGTAATTCACAGTAAAGTAGTCCATGGTACTGAGATAGCTCACAGAAAATATGCACTTATAATGTGACAGTCACTTAAGAGATAAAATGTATTTAATTTTTAAATGCTCTCATTTTTAAGTGTTTGATGATTGGAGAGCAAGATTTTAATTTAAAATGTGCCTTTATCTAAATGAGCTATCAAAGAAGAATGCTTACTGTAGGCCAAGGACAATATGGGAAGAGCAAGGTCAGACAAGGAATTCTGTGAATGGAACTGTATCCTATTCCACCTCCTTTAACCTAAACAAGCTTGTAAAGAAACAGAATTATTTGAGCCATATTCATACAGAAAGACTACTGTTCCTGGACTATGCTGTCACAGTCACTGCCCCTCCTTCTCTCCCCTCCCCTCTCTTTGCAGATGAAGGATGTTTTCTTCTTTCTATTTTTCTTGAGTGTGTGGCTCATTGCCTACGGTGTGACAACTCAAGCTCTGCTTCATCCTGATGACAGCCGAGTGGAATGGATATTCAGAAGGGTTCTTTATCGTCCCTACCTTCAAATATTTGGCCAGATTCCACTGGATGAAATAGACAGTGAGAAAATTTCTTTCCCCCTAACTTGGCCATTTTTGAACGGACACTTCTGATTAGAACGTGGAATTCCTTCCAAGTATTGCCCTTTTTTAATTTTGCTTTTTTAAATCTTTGTCCTACAGGCCAAAGCTTACACATTACTGCTACACAAATAGTGTATTTGCAAAGAGATAATGGACATTGTGGAGTTACACTAGACTGTAAGGGCTGGCCCTATTTAGATAAGGTCTCAGAAATAAGCAAGGATTTGCAGTTTTAAAGGTTGGCATACCTGCTTTCACTTTGATCCATTTCCTTTCAGTTTAACCTAGACCCAGATAACCCTTTGTAAACTCAAATAATAAATAACAGCACCTCCACATATTTTGGCAGTAGTGTAATGCAGCAGTGTTAAAGCAGTACTACTCTGCCTATAAGCAAATGTATTTTAGAATAAAATTTACTCCAGAGCACTTATTTACTCTGGGGATAAAGCTGCCCAAATAAAATAAAGCTAGTAATTGCTTATGTGCAGCATTGCAAACAAAGCAACATAAAAATAATCACAGGACACTGAAATAATTAGACATAAAAGTTCAAAGGCAACATTTCTGATAGGTAAGCAGGTAAAATAAAGAATAGGTCACCTCCCAAAGAAGTCTGAAGTAACACCACAGCATTTAGCCAGTGCTAAATGTCACTGGCAATAATGAAGTGGGATTCAAACTTGCAGTAATATAAAATAGAACCAAAAAAAAAGACACAGACAGAAGCAAACCAGTCAGTATTCTTTCATGTTCACTCTGCTTAATAAGAAAAAAATATAGAAAAGCCAAAAACCTGAATGACACAGGAGTGATTCATGTCCATTTTAAATACCTATGGTGTAAGCATGCACAGCACAATCAGTCACTCTTATTTCCATTAAAGTAATTTGAAAGAAATATTTCTGGAATATTCATTTTTCAATTTCAAATTTCATTTGCCAAAAAGTCAGATGTAGCACTCCCTAGAAAAGTGTGTTTCTCTCCACTGAAACTCCAGTGGGTGTCTCCACCTGGATAAATAACTGGTCAAGAGTAATAGAGAAAAAAAGAACCAATTACATGGGCAATTTCCAGAAGGGATTAATTTATCTTAGGGCCCTCTGGGTCTTATTCTGTTTAACATCTTTATGAAATATATGGAAAGGGAGTGGGGTAATGAGGAGGACAATATTTGCTGACAAAACTACATCACTGGGTACCAAAGACAAAAATTGACACCTAAGAGAGACAGAGGAGCCTCATGAGTGCTGAATAGAATGAAATTCAGTGTAGATAAGTATAAACTAGTACCCTTGGTGAAAGCAATCCCAGCTTGGTGAGCTTTGATATAACCACATGCTCTAATGAATGTAATCAGGGGATTATCTGTGGCACCAGGGAAAAGGTTTATAAGGAAAAAAATGGAGGGAAAAAAAGTAAATATCATTATGCTGCTCTAAACTTGTGGGTTTAATTCATAGCTGGAGAGAGACGACAGCACTAGACCTCTAGTGTGATGCAGTAGAACCAGACCTTCTTCCTAAGCTCAACTTCAAGCTCAGATACACAAAGCACTTTAAATCTAGAATGAGGAGCCCCATTCCCAGCTTTTATTGAGTTTTCTCCTCTAATGCACATGCCAGGCACGAGGACACAAGAATGTGGAGGAACACAACTCAGAGGTGGTTTGACTTTGAAATTCAAAACTAGTCTAAAAAGGATATAGCCCTTTCAACACAATCCCCTTTTTTGATGAACACTTACTACAATCTTGCCACTAAATAAGCAGCCAAGCTGTGGAGGTCTGCAGTGTCCTAGGGCTGCAAATATCTTGCACAACAATGCTATGTCTTTTCATGTACACAACACGATTATACTTCCACAAAATAAAAGAAAGAAACATGGCATTAGGATTTGTCCTAACTATTTTTTTTCCTTCATCTTCCTTTGCAGCATCACGAACATATCCCAGGAACTGCACGTTTAACCCACTGCAGACTTTGCAGAACACGCCATCCTGCCCTAACAGCTACGCCAACTGGCTCGTCATACTCCTGCTGGTCATCTTCCTACTTGTCACAAATGTCCTCCTTATGAACCTCCTGATTGCTATGTTCAGGCAAGAGTGATTTCACTAAGTGTCAGAATAGAGGCTGCAAAGCTTTAAGTGGATGCCCACATTTATTACCTCACTGCTGGCTATTCCTTTTGGAATACACTTGTAATTTTCCTAATGAATATTACTCGGGGATTGATAGAGAGAATCCTCTGATCAGATAGCTTTTAAGTTATCATCCTTTCTCTAGCCACATTGGAGACAAAGAGAAAAGAAGCCCCTTTTACTGCTAAAAATTCAACAAAACATGCACAGAAGGGTCTGTGTCCCTGGCTGTGTGGAATCACAAATCTGCAGGTGCACAGCAGCCATATATTTGGCAGACTTTACAGTGGGTGATTCGCACATCAGGGAAATGCTTGCTATCAACACAGCTAATAATGATTCATTTGGTTGAAGAACTGATGTGGCATGTTTGCTGATCTCTCCTGAGCAAAGTAGAATTATCTTTCTGAAAACAAAAAAAAATGCCAAACAAAACAAATGTATCTTTTAACATTTGCAAACTGCAACTACTGTAATATCTAAGAATTTGCACAAACTTTAGATTAAATTAACACTACTTGCTGACCTTGCTGTTCCTTTTTTAAGGTAAATACAGGACTAAATTTTGTTATACTCATATTTAGCTTGTTGTGGTGGGAAGAGTTACATGCTTTTATTCCCTCCCCTCATATTACAGTTACACTTTTCAAGTTGTCCAGGGCAATACAGACATCTTCTGGAAAGTACAGCGCTACAACCTGATTGTGGAATACCATGGCCGGCCTGCCTTAGCACCACCATTTATCATTATCAACCACATTACTCTGGTTCTCAGAAGACTCTTCAACAAAATGGAACACAAGAGAAAGCACCTGGGTGAGTTGTTAACAAATGTGATCAAGCAACTGTAGTGCCTGGCTCTCTCTGAGGACATGGTGCATACACAAAACAGGAGAGGATTTCCTTTGGCCAAAAGTCACAAAGAGTGCCAGGAGAGGACAAGCCAAAAATTAAGGTTTATAATTTAAACTATAAGCAGTTTCCCACAGTACATTTCTTGATGCACCATAGTTATTACAACAAAGGTAGCAATTTAAAATGGGTTATAGGGATTTGATTTCTGAAGATTCAACAATTGATAGCTTTAAGGAAGTTACTTAATTTGTTCCTGAGTTTTTCAGCAATTAACCCTAAAAACAACCTTCCTTTAGCATATCAACTTTTCACTACTAGTATCAGAGAAAAAGGGGTAAAATTTATTTCTTATGTTATTTTTCCTACAGAAAGAGATCTTCCACTGGGCCTCGATCAAAAAATCATGACATGGGAGCTGGTGCAAAAAGAACATTATCTTGTAAACCTCGAGCAAGAAAAGAAAGAAAGCAATGAAGAAAGGCTGAAGGCCACATCTAATAAGTAAGTTATTCTGACCCACAGTAGGAGTAACTTGCAAGCCTTCAGCTTTCAAGGAGTTCAGCACTGAAGTTCTTGTAAAGTTTATATAAATGGTCCAACTGGAATGCAGTTAGGAAATACACAGTCCATGAAAAAATGTGAGAGGCCAGCATCACTACAATGTTAGAGTGTTTGTCACTCCTGAAGTATGTACAATTATAGACCTGTAAGTTCCAGCCAAATCTGCAGCCAAGCTCAATGAAAATCTTATTAATGAAGAAAATGGTGGAAAAACAGTGTGTTTGCTGGGCTGCACCACACATAATTTCATCCCCTGTAGGAATACAACACAGAATTTTGAATGGAAGTTTAAGATACCTTTAATTAGCCATAGATGCAGAAGAACAAATACTTATGCCTTCATGGCATGGGACTGAGTCTCCATTTGTGAACTTCTCTGTATTTCCCCACTATAAATATCACTTGAATTGGTTAAGTCTGATGAAGTACAAGTCCTAAATTGTTATTCAGAGGTTCAAACCTTTAAGTGAAACACAAAGTAGTTATATGCAGGGAGAATATCTAAGATAGAAAATCACTTCTCAAAGAAGCTTTAAACACCTATTCTGTTTTCTCTTACAATCAAACAGACTTCAAATAGAGGCACAATAGGTGTGAACGTTACCATAATAAGAAAGTTCCATGGAAATGTTCCTGGGCTGCTTTCTTTCAAAATAAACATCCATCTCTCCAACTCACAGAACAACTGGAGACCAGAACAACATACTTACATTCCTGGAATATACTCCTCTCCCTCTACTTCACATAGATTCTTAATTCACAATAATTTAAAATTATTATATAGTTTTAAACTTTATTCTCATAAGCAGATCACTGACAAGCCCCAGGAGCGAGAGCTTAATTGTTGAGATAAAGCAATAAATATATGTACAATTGCTTCCCAACAAAGGGTACTACATCCTTTATACAATAAAGGATAAAGATGGTACACTGCAGATGAAGTTACTGGAGGGGAAAAGTGAGAATCCATCTGGCTTCACAATATTTCAGCTACAGCAGAGCCAGAGAAAGACTAAAAGAGATTCAGATGAACACCACTACCCCCGTGGCTTTTATTTTTTGCTCTTCGGTGGTAGGAGTGTAGTTTTGGGATCTTAGGAAACCTTCAGGAAGTGATTATTTGAACTTTGTTTGCACTGAACCAAACTCAAATGCATTAGACCCACCCAGCAGCAGGTTTTTCACATAGATAGGATTGGAACATAGCCTGTGAGAGGGAAACTTTGAAAGGGGAGCCAGGAGAAACCAGGGAAGGATTTGCCAAGCCTATGAGGAATCAGATGCTAAGAATAAGGAACTGATGGGAGAACAAGATGAAGGATGCAGAAAGCAAGGGGATAATTTGGAGGCAATGTATGGAAGTTCATGAAGAAATCCCTTTGGACTGCATTAAAAAATATATTTGACTGTCAAGACAGTTTGCAGAAACAAAAGCTTGCATAGATTTTAAGTGGCCTATCTGCATTGTGGCCTCAGTTCTCACACCAGGATCAGTTTCCATTTGGTACAGGTGGGAGAGACACAAATGGCTGGAGAGACAGAGCTGCTCCTTTCTGCTTGATTTTGAATCTGTCCTTGATTTCTGCAGCAACTGAGGCTAAGTGGCCCTCACCAGAAGCTGAATAGCTGCCCTGATCTGTCATTTGCGAGCCCCTGGGCAACAGGTGCATGGGAGTGTTCCAGAGGTGCTGCTCTGCCCAAAAAATACTTCTGTGAACACCTCAAAAGGACAAAACTTTTAAAGGGGCTGTGGGATGTCTAAGAAGCACAGAACTGCAGTGAAGGACTGTGGCTGTAGTAAAGTTACAAGTGGTTTGTGTTTTATGATTTCTTCTGAGGCCTCCCTTTTTTTTTTTTTTTTTTTTCTCAAGGTGTTTGCTTTGTTTCCACAGGGTGGATAACTTGTCTAAATATTTTAGTGGGTTGAAAGAACAAGAAAAACGATTTAAAGTTCTGGAAGCTCAGGTAAATAGTATTTTCTAGGCATTTATATCAGCTTTAGGATTTCACCATCTTTCTCTCATTTAATGGTGGTCTGGCAGACCCTACTTAGGGACAGAAAAACAGATCTGTATTATGGTTTCACTTTCCTTACTGCTTTCTGGTATTAAACATATGTAAAGAAAAAATTCTAAACTCCTGTAGAAAGGAGAAAAGAAAATACAACATTGCCCTCTTTGGTAGTTTACTTGAGAGTGTTTATTTTCTTTGTTAAGGATGCTTCTGGAACAAAATGCAAAATGCTTCATCTTTCCTCCCTCCATTCTTGTCCTTCTCATTGTTTCTTTTTTTTTTTTTAAATGTCAGCTTGGAAAATGCATTCTGTCTGATATAACCTAATCTTCTTGTACATCAGTTTTTCTAATTTTCTAAAGTTACCAAGTACCAACATCTCAAAAGGGAAGTGTCCAGCATACAATTATGAAATCCAAATAATAGCAGGAAATTCTGTCTTGCACTTTTGATGACAAACCCTTGCAATATAAACAAACAACATTTTTTACACAGTCTGAAAATGTCAAACCACCTGCTGTGTAGCACAACTCTTATTGTTTTCTTTATCTCTACAATTCTCCTGATAATTTTGGCCTCACTGAAAGTTCTTTATCTTAATACTCCTGCTACAGTTTCCTGCTCCCTTCTTATCCCTTTTATGGCTTCCTGAAAAAAGTCAGGCTATACAGGTCCAACAGAAACACACAAGGAATGCTTTAGTAAGTTTGTGCCAGCTTGAGGTAATGCAGTATACTCACAAAAAAGGGCAGGTGTTTAATCACTACCTATTTTGTAGATTTGCTACTGTACGGCTGTTATCTCCTCCATGGCAGAGGTTTTAACCAAAACCAACCTCTTGTGCACTCCACCAGCTCCAAACTATACAGGTAAGTACTGAAAACAATCACAGAAAAGCTAATTAATACAGCTGAACAATAAAATACAAAAAATGCAAGGCAGAAAAAAAATAATTGGAAAATAACCCCATAAGGAGATACCTAGAGGTACTGGGAATATAAAAAAGGAACAGAATGTTCTTACTTCAGAATGAAAAAAAATTACCCTTTGTAAAATGCATTTAAGCTTTGGGACAGGGACTGTCACTTAGGGTGAGTTAGAATAATCTCACCCTGTTCAAGCACATAAACAAGTATCTATTTACAACAGAGGATTGCCTTGGAGGTCTCTTGAGTCCATGAGACAATCCTCAACAAAAGTGTTTACAATGCATAATAATAATCATTAAAAATAAAAACTGAGCAAGTCTCATTTTTTTTTTTAATTAACAGAATTCATTTGCTTTTAGAACTGCACCTATTTCTGTCAGTCAAGAATTTTGTCCTGTGTCCCAGGACTCCACCGTATGGAGTTTAAATCATTAGAGACAGGAGCAAACTATTTCTCACTCACTGCAGAATAGCCAACACAAGAAAGACTTTGGATATCCTTCTTAATCTACCTATTGCTATCTATTACACAAAATAACTTCCAAAATTCATCAACTGAACATATGTATACTACATGGAAAAAAGAAGTAGCTGGAAAACTCAAAGTCGTGACAAGACCTCAAGTCACTCAGATTTGAGCTAACCTCAAGCTTTACTTAATTCTGTCAGAAGTTTATAGAATATTTATGTGAGTTGCTTCATGATCAGTATTCCAATTAAAAAACTCCATCTTGTAGAAGGCTTCCCAGACACTTTAATACTGTAACTGCATAAAAATCAGAAATTTAAATAGCTGAAAAATAAGCCTGTGTTTATTATTTACTGAGCAAATGCAAAGTAATACAATCTACAGTCTTTTTTTTCAGCATTTTAAAGTTTCTTAAATAATTACTACTTTGTGCCCCTTGTCCTAAGGCTTTTAAGTGAGCACATGACTCTTCCAATCCTATTAGGCGCGAAGAGAGCCAACACAGAAGCCCCTTTGCCGCAAAGAAGTGAAAGAGAAGAGCGTGCAGATCAGTTTGAGACTGACATCGAATACATTGATAATTAAATTTTATTCTATTTCTTCACATCAAACCTTTTGTCCTACTGAACTACTGTAGAAGTAAAATCCTAATCTCTTTAAGGCCTAAGGGCAAACTCTCTATGCTAAGCATGATGTATGCTTGACATTACTGAGGATTTCTTGGTCTTTCTCCTTCAATTTCTTGGGTTTTCTTTCCTGCTCTCCCATAGCACTTGGTCCTTTCTCCAAAGCCATTCCATAAACAGCACTAAAGCCTTCTTCTCCAGGGTGACTACCACCTTATTTTCTAAATACCATTTGTTCTCCAGATACCACACCCGCAATCCACCATCATCACTGCCAAATTCAAGGGAGTCTCCCTTTGGAAGTGCAATCATTTACGCACTTAAAAACATGCTCCTTCCTTGGCCAAGAAATCAAGCTTGGACTCCTGAGCTGCTTAGAAAAGGAAAACACAAAATAGTTTCCAAGGAAAGGGCTTGAATGCTGAGACATTACAGTCCATGCAGTTCCTGGAGTTCCTGCAACTCTCAAACAATTGCACTTACCAGCTTCTCTTCCCAGGCTGGCTCTGGTACTCCTTGCTGGTACTCCTTGCTGGTACTCCTTCTTAAGGGCTCCTCTCTCAGCTTCAGAGACGAATCCTCTGGTTTTGTTGTTCCCATGCCCCATCACAGCTGCTGCCAGTTTCCTGCTGGAAAGGAGCCTTTGCCTCCATGTACAACACCACATGGAGTGCCTCCTCTACATCTAAGCACCTGATTTCATTTTACTTTTCTTTCTCAAGGGTAGGGGGAAAAAAGAAATCACTTAAGACTTTAAAACAAAAACGTGTACCAAGAATTATCCTGCTCTCTAGGAATCTGGGCTGTTTGTGGCTTTTTCCATTACTTAAACTGGCTTGTACATTTTTAGCATAAAAAAGCTCACTGGCTTTATTAGAATTTTACAAGATACACCAATAAAATATCAATATCATCCTCTAAGGGGAAATTTCTTTGGAATAATATAAACAGCATCAAAAGGGGGAAGTATTGGGCTGTGTCTGACTCTGATAAGCTCCAACTTTATTTCCTCACCCATATAATATTGTCTCTATGCAATGTAATTGTAAATTGCACAAAAGCACAAAAGCTTTCTGTTACCAGAGGTGGAAAAAAAAATAAATCTCAGCTCTGACAAAAATGAGCCTTTTATTAACAGATATTAATCTTGTTATGATGGCCTCATGAAACAGGCATTTGTCCAGTTTATTCAGCTGTGCCCCAGGCCTATGACTCCCATTAGCGGCAATGGAATTTTGATAGTCCTACCTGTTCCTCACCCTGGGCAAACAGAACTCATAAACCCAGCAAGTTTGTACTACTGAGCTGCATTTTTTGTTAAGAAATAATAGATATCTCACGACCAGCATTCCCTGCTCTTGGCAGCAGCTTCTACTTTGAAATTACTACTATTTTCATCATGATCAGTATACCAATTATCCACTGGAATCCAAAAATCTATCCATTTGGACTTGTGTGTGTGTCCACTCCCATGCACTGGAACAACCAATGTATTTACAACGACCCACTAAGTTATGTGCATCCAACTGCACGCTCATGAGAAAATACATTCTGCTCTGAAAACTAACACGTGAGTTTAGAAAAATGGATCATAACTGCTTCTTTTACACTGTTTTCTGCTTCTTCTGCCAAATGATGCATCAGTTCAAACACAAAGAAAAGTGATTTGGGCCTCCCAGTTAATTATTTTTAAGATGGACTCCCCCCCTCCAGAGGAAGTCACCCCTTCAAACACTCTTTAGAGTTTGAGCAAGCACAATCTACCAAGAAACATCACAAACTCTTAAGAATGAATATTTCACTACACAGTTATAAATACTACCCTTTGGGATTGGTTCATTTAGAATACTGACAAAAAAAATGTCAGTTCAAACTGACCTGAACTAATCTGAGTTTCAAATCATGTAACCTTTCAAAGAATTTAATCTTTCAGCCTTATTTATTAAATTTACTAGCACTGTGGAAAAACCCCACTATATTTGACATTGCTTACAATGTGATTCATTGTATGAAATGACTCATCCTATGAGGGGATTATACATTGTAAAATTATTGAAAATGTTAAAAATGTGAGGTTTAGAATCTGTAAGACTTGAGGGAGAAGTTAACAAGATGGTGAAGTTAGAGTAACACTTTAAAAGGTTTTCAAGACAGTTTTAAAATCAAATAAAATGTTTGGTAGAACTTCTACAGCTGCATTACTCAGCATGGTTCAGAGGTGAAATCAAGCTACAACGAAAAGTTTATTGTATCGCATAGAACAAAAAAGTCTCCAGTTCTGGTATAAACACTTCCACAAACACCCCAATCCACATACAGAATCAATATGGAAGCAGCACCTCCTGCAAAGCACATACAAATATGCACATCATTATGTCATGTAACAGGGCATTGCTGTGCTTTCACCCTCAATGGCAATGAGAGAAGGATGTTTTTAAACAAAAAAATTAAAGGGTTTTCCTTCCTGGGATGGGGCAAGGAGAAATCACATCCAGTGGAAGACTAGGTTTTATTTTCATTGTTTAAAAATCTCTACATAATGAGCTCATCACCTTTTCTCCAGGATTCCACAGGATTTGGGAACAATATCAAAACTGGGAGTTACTAGGAAGCCCTGCAGCCTTTTAGCCAACACTTCTGTTTCTTTGGATACTTTAGCTCCAGAGCAAGATCCAGGGAGCTTTTCAAGCAAACAAAGCACACTTTATTCTGTCCTGCCAGGATGCAACTATCCTGTGCCCATGGACTTCTCATAAACAAAAGTCTGGAATTTATTTTAGGCAGCTTAATTTCTAACAGTATAAAATATTCTTGGTGGCTATAATGCAAGCTGTTGGACAAAATGCTATCACATGGTTTTCAGGCCAGAAAAAAAAAAAAGGAAAAAAAAAAGAACAAGACAAGTCCTGGGATGTCTCCAATGTGCTTCAACCTTCAGGACTCTTCCTCCTCCCCTTCATCTACTTTATGTCTGAAGTTTTTCCTGCTCTTCTTCTTACTGCAGTGGAATCCAACTGGTCCCAGCGATGGCTCCTCACCTGTATCACCAAGCCTTGCATCAGGTTTGTATTCTGTGTTCAGGTCCCCTTCCATCACACACTCTTCCTCCTCTGCTGCTTTTCCACTGTCACTGTCTAAGTGCCCCAGCTCAACCTTATCTTCTTCCTTCAAGTCATCAGTCTTCCTAAGAGATTTTCCTTTCAGATCTGTCTTCATCTGTTTCTTATCATCCTCTCCTGTCAATCTTTTCTTTTCCAGTCCATCAACACCTCTTTTAATTGGTTTGGTGAAGACAATCCTCCCAGCTCCACAGCTGGAAGGGTCCTGGTTGAAGGATGGGGCATAACTATCTTGGGAAGCCGAGCTCTGTTGCTCCCCTCTTTTCTTCAAACCACCTAGAAATTCCATGGCCACTGCCCTGTTAGTCTTATCACTGGACTCTGAAACTCCCTCTAGGCTGTATTTGGTCCAGCGCTCTGGGTGTGCCACATAGTCAGGCACTGCAGGAGAGGTTCTGGGAGCCTGCACTGGTCTGGCTTGCCTCCCCATGTTTTCTGGGACCAGGGTACCTGAAATTGTGGTCGGAGGCAATGGACGCTTAAACCTCCCATCAACAACATTATCATCAGGCATTGAGGGCACAGACAGCTTGGCTGCCTCTTCCAGGCAATCAAAAATGTTCTGGCTACGGAGGGAGAATGTAGAACTCATGCCCTTCAGATGGAATGGCTGGACAGGAGATCTGTGACCGCTGTTTGAAGAGCCAGGTGTGTCTCCTAATCTGAAATCCCCTTCATCTACAGATGGCTCCTCTGGAGATATTGTATCAACTTCTGCTTCACCTGCCAGCCCCAAGTCATCAGAGTCAGAATCGCTGAGTGACACCGTGTCTGAGGGCAGAGCTCCTTCGTAGTCTCTGGCACCATCAGCCACTATCCCCAGAAAAGGTTCACCTCCTTCCTGGTCTCCCATCTTCGAGCTGTCACTCCACTGCGGTCTTTGATGCAGACCCAGGAACAGCTCTAAATACAGTTTTCCAAATGCCCAGGGAGTTTAGTGCCTAAAATATAAAGGAGCATAAAAACTTAACTGTGAAATGAGAACCAAGGATGAGACCATCACTCTGTGTTGTGCAAAGTAATTATAACTGCAATACAATAGTTAGCTGTGCTTTAGGGATTCCCAAGCAATTTTGCTTCAAATGAAAACATTATTTAAGGAATGAATGCACATTAAAATTAAAGATTTACACAAGACTGAATAGAAGAATATGAAGTAATTGAAAGTAATGCTACCAAATTTCATTAGAGGTTGCTGGGATATATCAGGTCTAATTACTAAAAGATGAACATAAAGCTCTTGAGTTAATCTGAATCCCCCCAAAGCTGTCTTATAGATCTTCCAAGAGACAGCAATGACCTCTGCATATTACACCCTGTGTTTATTCACACTGTAAAAATGCACAGGAACACATTCAATTTCTCACTCTTTGATTTGGCCAGTACAATCATTACTGCACTAGCACTGTACCTGCTGTTCTAATAGCCATCACGTTCTGCCTATTACAAAGGACACTATGACTGATCCCCATCAGTGACAGAAAACCCACAAAAATATCAGCGCCACTGTTTCAAGTCTGCTTTAATGTGGCATAAAGTACAAGCTCCACTGCTTCCTCTGGCTTTAAGCTCTCAAGTCATTAATGGATTCCAGGAATTCGAAAACGAGCCAGCTCAAGAAATCAATCCCATTGGATTAAGAAAACTAATCACACATGCCATGCTCACACATGGAAACAAGGAGAGGTGGCAATCACAGGCCTGCAAGAGTTGGCCCTTCAGTCAGTAAACGACAGTGGGATTTGAAGCCTGATTTTCAGAAGCAGCTGGAATACCTGACAGTGTCATGTGCTCAAAGGGAACCTTGCTGGATTCAGATGGTCGGTGATCATGCTACCACTTGCTGGGCAACTGGAAACAGAGCTGGCGTACGCACACATTTTGGTTCAGCTCTTGTGAATTATGGAAACAGTTCCAACATATTATTAGGATAAGCTTGACTACCCAATTATAGGCTCTTCTGAAACAATGCAGTAAACAGACATGGAAAGTCTGTTAGTCACTCACTTTCTCTTGAGACTGAGTCAGCTTCCCCTCCTGAGGGTCAGTTAAAGCCACCAAAGATCTCAGCACTTCCACCCTAGAAAACAAACATTTCCATCATGATACTGGAAATGTAGTTTTAAAAATAATTCTGTCCCCCTCAATCATCCAAAGCTGTAAAACTGGGTTCTAAATCTGACACAAACTCATGGTGGTATAAAGGTCTGCAGATACTGAATTTTTGGCAGAAGAACAGCAGACAGCCTAATAAGGCAGGCACCACTATATTTACCCAGTCTCCACATTCATACTGCCAACTTTATCCTGTAGAACAGAAGAGAGGTTTTAAAAAAATTCAAGCTCTAACTTGCATGTGCAGAAAGCCAGTACTAAATAAACAGTATTAAATGCAGCTAAGAAGATACAATAATAATAGTTATGCATTGCAAACATTAAGTGCTTCTAAGTATTAAGATCACGGGTAACACAGACTTCTGTTTCCAAAGAAAGGTCATGTTCAAAGATTTTCATGAAGCATAAAACACAGAGAATCTTCTGAGGAGTGCTGCGTTCCATGTCAAGTCTGGCTGCCTTTGACAGAAAGGATCTGACGGCTGCTTTTGAAAACACTGCCCTCCATGTAATCCCTAGCGCGAAATAATCTTCTTTAAATGATACAGTGGTCTACTTAGTTTTGGAACACATGAAACGTTAACGACTACAACTTAGGAAAGGCCTTGAAGTGCATAATTAAATAAAATAGCTGTTTTCAGACAGCAATAGAAGTGTGTTCATCATGGGCATCTCTTGTCTGAGAGCACTTACACAGAAAAGAGAAATTCTGCTCCTAAGGAGATGTTTTAGCCTTAACAAAGTTAGTGGCCAAATATGCTGGCCTTTACAGCACACCAGACTCACTCACGGATTTGTTATGGTGATGTGATCCCAGCACGACTCGGAAAGAATGACGTCTCTCCGGGTGGGAAGGTTCCCAGTGGGCTGCTCCATCCTGGTGCTGCTCAAACACACTGTGCGTCTTCCTGCTGCCTCCTGTGAGGAGGACGAGACCTCAGTCACCGCAAACCACGGCCACGGGCCTGCTCTCACGGTGCAGAGCACCGCACCAAAGCCCACGCAGTCCCTCGGGACAGGGATCCACAGGCCCCCGCGCCAGGGAACAGGGAAGAGGATCAGGGAAAGAACATCGGCCGCTGGACACTCGCCCCGCTGAGGGGAAGGCCACGGCGCAGCCCCAGCTGTGCTGCCCGTCGGCTCCGGCCCCAGCGCCCTTCGCGGCCCGGGACGCTGCTGGATGCGAACCGCCCGCACCACACGCGGCCCTCGCTGGCCCTGCACCCCGGGCACCGCCACCCGCCCGGGCACAAAGAGAACCGCCGGGGAGGGGAGGGGGAGAAAATTGAATGGAGAGCCCCCGTACCCCGACACCGCACAGCCCCAACACTTGCCGCAGCAACCGCCCGCCTTTTGCCCGCTCTT